GTTCAGCAGTAGAGCACTTGTCAACCTTGAATTATGGGCATCTCATATTTAGTCACAAATTTCCATTTAACCGAATAATTTAGTTTCAAGAGATACTATATTAAATACAAGAGACTTAAAACAATGCTGTGACTAAATTTTACATGTAAAAATACATACATAAAATCAAAGCTACGTTTTCCACAAGCAGCATATATGCAGTGTCTTACTCATGTCTGCATTTTGCATTACTATGTTGTTAGTTGTGTTACTCAAATATATTCCCACAGTATCACAATCTGTAGCTGCTGGGGAAACCATAATCAAGCTTTGAGAATCCTGACTTCAGAGCACAGGAAATGTCAACCATAAATTTTCATTACTCTTCCTCAAGTTGTTTGTTTGCTGTTTCCAACAACCCAACCAGGCAGCACAGAATAAGCAGGAAGAGATGTGATGTACAATTAATGTGAGGGGCTGCAGCGATTTCAGCAGATACAAACCTCCAGGGAGAGAGGATGAAGGCTAGGAGCTAATTATATTATCCCCTGAATTCTGGTCTCCATTTGTTTCATTTGCCTCTTGATTTCTTAGCTACCTACAACATCAATAGCACACACATTTCACAGCACTGCTTCCCATAGAACTTCAGTGGAGCAGAGGCACCGTCTCTCCATATTGGGAGACGATAGATGTGAAATTTGATTTGACAGAGAAGGCAAACCTCTGCTGTCCCTCCCTCCCTCTACCCTGCTTAGAGTTAATGATTCAGTTCTTGACTTGATCTGCATCGACATCAACCTTTTGATTAAAGAAGAAATGGATCTTTACCTGTTAAATCTTATGTTAAAGGAATAACTTATTTGAGAATCTAAACCCACTACAGAATTCCTACAGAGGTATCAATAGCCCAGTGTGCAACAGCTTTGTTCAGCAACCTCAGAGCATCACAAAGCCCGAACAAGTTTCACCAACCAGGAAACTTCCCAAACTCACTCGGATCGTCCCACACTGTAGACACAGAAAAACCCCCAAACACTGGGTCCATTTGCCATCTCAACACAGGGAGTCCTGTCCAAGCAATGAGAGGTTTTTAGATATCTAAGCAGAATAATGGGCCTACCTGGCACCTCAGCAGTTACACAGCAGTCGCTTGGGGGGAGGCTCAGAGAGCGCAGAGCCGATTCTCTGTGCCACTAACACGCTTCTTGGAACAAACAGAGGAACCACTTGCATGGGCAAATGGGATATATCAAGCAGAAAACACTCTGCAGACTGGATGACTTCTGTGTCTCCTGTCACAACGTTCTGGGAACGAGCACACTTCCAGCCCAACTGAATGTCAGATGGTCACGCCTGAAGAGAGAGGAGGGCTAAGGCACAAGGTCTGCGGACAAAGCAAAGCAGGGTACTAGGAGAATGACGAACAGAGCTCACCTCACCCAACACCCAGCCTACTGCCCTCATTCATGACCAAATCACAAGCTCTCTGAATACAAACTAGGAAGACACAGCTAATAGTTGATAGCACTAGTTTTTAAGACAATGAAGATGTTAAGCTCAAAAACGAGGGTCAAAACCACAAAGAGCATTTAGATTAAATAACTACCACAATCCAAAAAAATCAGATTACAGAATTTTAAACCATATTTAGTTTGCTTTCCGACCCAAGGGAGGATGAGGTCCTTCTTTACCACCTTCATCCATGATACTCTCATCTTCGCCAACACTGATACAATTTAATCCCCTCTCTTCCGCCAGTCTCCTTGCAGGAGCTTGTAAACACACCCACCCCTATGCTCGGCCGCAAGTCAGCTCCAGTGGAGATGCCCTCGAGTCCTGCTTGGCAACACAATTCTTCTCAACAAGGTCTCTTGAAACAAAATGCTTTCAAATATGCCACCGTCAGTCTCTCTCTGACCTCACCACCACTAGGCACAGTGCATTATGCGATCCCACCTCATATCTCATCGCACTCCATCACTCTTTTCTGATTTCTTGCCCTCTGTGGGATTTCTCTAATAAGTCTTTTGCAGGACACTCCTTATCTGTTTCTGTTGATATTTCACGGCCATTTGAGACAGATTGCTCTTCGTTCACGTCTTTATGGATAATTCCAAAACAGAGAAAGTGCAACTCAAGTCTGCCTCCTGAACTACTTACCCACGCAAACTTCAAACGTGCTGATGCTCTCTCTTTTCTCTTCAACCATCTACAACCCCAACTCCACACCGCTCATCAACGTTAACCGCGTCTGTGTCCGTGTCACTCCAACACGTAATCCGTGGATCACCCTCAACCGCTTCTTCACACACGCAGTGTGCACACCTTGCCGCTTCCTTCTCCACTGGGTTTTTGATCGGATTTTTTCACCCCAAGAGCGAGAAACTAGAACAACCTCCCCCCCCCCTCCTTTTCGCCACAGATGACTCTGCAGAGACCTCCCTGCAGCCGTATCACACATCCCCCGTGAATCTGCATGCTCTCCTCCCACTTCCCAGGCTTTGTTCAGCCTGCCAGGGCCGCCTTGGCCTTCCCCGCTCACCTAACCCTCTCCACCCCTGGCCTTTCCCAGCTACCAGCACTTTTAACAAGTTCTTTCACCCTACCCTTTCGGTTCCTACAGCAGCCGCCCCCCCGCCGCAGCTCCGGGCTCGGGCAGAACGCCGCCCCGTCCCTTTAAACTATCCCAGGTCCTTTTGCGCTCCGTGCGGGACCAAACCCCGCTCTTGCCCCGCAGGGCCGGACCGCCGCGTGCTGGCGGGAGGAAGGCGCAGGAACACCGGG